TTCCAGTAGGGGAATTAATGGATCCCATAGTATATATGCATTTGTACTTTTGCCCTCCATAGTTTTGTACTAATTTATAGCTAAATGAGTGGTGATCCCCTCTGAGTCCAAATGTGTTACCACATTTTTCCCCATTCTGGTATGTGATTTATGGCGTCCTGTTTTAGTAAGTTGCATTTCTTTTGTAATTAAGGCTGTGTATCCCTTCATGTGGTTATGATCCATTGTTTACTTTCAGTGAACTATCTGTCGGCCTTTGCTAGATTTTCTATTGGGGATTTTTTTTAAAGAGCTCTTTAAGTATTTGGGAAATCAGTCCTTTGTCTTTGATAGTGGTTGTAAATATGTATCTTTTAACGTTGCTGTGGATTTTAAAAAGTAAAAAAAATAAGCTTTAAAAATACACTACATTTAAGAAAATAGTTTTGTTTGCACTTTTCCTTAGATCTGGAAAATCTTTGGTTATTATGCCTGTGTATTAGGTATATCTGCCTACCTTCCATTTTCTCTTTTTCCTGTTTCTGAGGCTGCCCTTGTTGTCACATGCCCCTCTGAGTCCTCTTTTCTTTCTCTTCTGGAACACTTGTCACTGTGTTTAGAGCCCAGCCTGATCCAGGACGGTCTTATCTTGAAACCTTTAACTTCGTTGCAGATACCTTTTTTCTAATTAAGGTAGCATTCACAAGTTCTTGGTATATCTTTTGGAGTCTTCCCCTGGTGGCTCAGTATGTAAAGAGTCTGCCTGCAATGCAGGAGACCCGGATTTGATCCCTGGGTTGGGAAGCTTGGAGAAGGGAATGGGCAACCCACTCCAGTATTCTTGCCTCGAGAATTCCGTGGACCGAGGAGCCTGGTGGGCTACAGACCATGGAGTGACAGAGACAGACGTGACTGAGTGACTCACACTTTCACTTTCATATGTTTTTGAGGAACACCATTCAACCCACTCTGATGACCCTATTTATCTTTTTTTTTTCCTTATTTATCTTTTTTGACTACCTTTTTTTTTTCTTCTTTCAGGAAATTATATTGACTTTAAGAGTTATATTCCTAACGTTTGCTCTGAACATTTAATGCTCTTGAAATACATCTTCAGTTCCTTTCAAAAGGAAAGTGATTCTGTTGTTTTCTGCCATGCAGAATGTGGATGCTGTGAACAGCATTCCATTCTGGGAGTTGAAATAGCATGCAACTGAGAACTTGTAAGGCTGAATTTTTATTTCTTGCTGCTCCGTAACCTTTTGATTAAAAAAAAAAGTCTACATTTTGTCTTATTCCCTTTTTCATGTTTCAGGCATAAATTACACACCAGACTAACTTGTTTCTGGGTTAGTTGATACCAGTGGACACCAAACTCTCCTTGTGTTTGAATTCCAGAGGCGTGAACCCATAAAAGCATTCCTGAGTGTTGTCTGTAGATTATGTGGTGGTAACATCGTTAGTATAGAACAGAAATGAGTATATATAAGCTTTATAACTCTGGTCAAGTTTTACAGTTTTCATTTAGTTACCTCCTGGAAAGTTTGAAATTTCAAAGGTGTCAGCAAAAATATTGATTATGAATAGGTTTTAGGTTTATAATGATACATGATATTATGCACTTGCTAGTTCCACAGTCCCTCTGTCTCAAAATTGAATATAAAAACTGTCTGCAGAGTAGATTTATTCATACCGATCCTGTTTTCTTGCAAAAATCCTTAAACACGTCAAATAATATGTAGACTGAATATATTAACATGAGGTTGTAAACTGTATTTTTAAGGTTACAGTTATAACTTTTTAAGTGTGATAAAATATCTTCCCTTTTACTCTCGTCAATAAAGTCTGTCATTTATTGTACTAAAGCCTTTATGACTGAGCAAATGACAGGCCTTTTGCTGAAGCAATACCCAGTCTCACTGAGAGTAATTCAGTCCCCATCCTGGCATTTTTTCCCAAGCTACTTCTGTGTGTAGGTTTCATTCTTCATTCAGAAACAGCATAGTGGTGGCACTGAGCTTGGTAGCTTTGTGTAGTTTTCCTTTATTTCCTTACTTTTGGTTCATTGCTTGTAAATTCTGTTACCATCAATTTCTTCAGCTTTGCTCATTACAGCATAAATAATTATAAAAAATTAAAAGAAGTTAGAAGGTGCTTGGGGATCATTCTTGCCTAATCTTTTCTGTCTTAAAAATGATGAAACTACTTAGAAAAGTGAAGTCTACATAGAAAAGTTAAGTGACTTGTCAGAGACTGAGTCATTTATTACTGGTGAGGTTTCAAAAAGCTTGACATAGCAACCACATTGTTCTTTGCACTGCTTTTACTGCCTTTTAAGTTGCAGTCACTACATAAACCTTTTTTGAATGTAAATAATGAAATGTGAGCTTTTAATCTCAGTAGAAATAAAGTATTCTTTACTTCAATGTTTATTTCTAAGATATACTCAAAATTAGCTCAGTTTCAAGCTATACTTGGTAATTAAGATTCTTAGGTTTATCATCAAAGTCTGTTTCAAAGAGAAGAGTCATTCTAGCTATTTCAAAATACTGCAAGAGTATAAAGACTGAGGGAGAAGTAGGAGCCTCATCATCAAGATAGTAATCATTGTGATATATTTCTTCAAAGTCTTTTTTGTCTCTACATTATATTCATTCCAGTCAATAGTGTCGGTTTTGTTCTTTGCTTTTTAACTGATTATAAGCATTTTCCTTTTTATCAAGTTTCCTTTAAAAGGATCATTTTTTAATGGATGTGCACAATTTTGTTGTTTGGTATACCATTTGTTTAACTCCCCCTCTTACAAAAGCTGAACTCTTTGGTATAAATCATGCTTAAATTAGATCACTGAATATATTTCTTGTTAGATTTGGTGACTTGTTAGCCCAGGACCCCTGCCTGTTTAGGAAGGCAAGGTTGGTAGCTCTTGGGTGTGGACTGCCAGAGAAATGCTGTCACAGTGACCTTTGTGGCCTTGTCCAAGTCCAAGTCCATGTTTGCTTTTGCCCATGCCTACTACTTTACTTAAGGTCCTTTTGTAGCTTTGATTAGAGAAAGTGATGTTTTAATTGGCATGTTCTTGATCATCATGTTTTTCTTGGTTCCAGTGGTTCAGGCCTTATCCTTGCTTTAGTAACAGGTTGGAGGAGAGGGGAAATACTACATAGTGATATGCTTTGATTGACAGATACATTTTGACTTCAGAAACATTAAAATGAGGGAAGATGTGTGTCTTAGAACCAAGGAAATAGAATCTGTGAAACATTATACTCATTGAGTGTGTTAGGTGTTTTCTGTTTTCTTTCTAGAATTAGATGAGGTATCAATAGATACTATTCTTCCCATTTATAAATGAGGAATTGTATTACAGAGAAATGGAGTGACTTACTCATGACCAGTGTAATTGAACATGATAGAGCTGGGCTTCAAGCACACATAAGCTTGACTTTATCACAAAAATGCTGTGAAATGTTCATCTACATTAACTTTTTTTTTGTTTGCTTTTAACTTCAGGCTAAAGAAAATCAGTCAAATGGCTGTTTCTTTTTGCTTGCTTTCATACACATAATGTACTCTCGTTTTAAAGAAAGATGAGAGTAAACAAAATGAAAATGAGTGCCTGAAACCTTTTGACCCAGGGCTGTTCTGCTGACATTTGTATGTACAGTGTTGCCCATTCTGGATGGGGGCAGCCCTCAGCCTTTACCCAGTGTGAATGGTCTGCCCGTGAAGTTGTACAACACCTTGTGGGATGGAGTGTTTTCTGCCTGAAATGCCAGTAAGGGTGTCTCTTGACCAGCACTGGTGGTGTATATTGAAGAACAGGGGGTTTGGAGTGAAGTGTACCAGGGTTCCTGTTCCAGCTTTGCCATTTCCTAGTATGGTCTTGAGCCATTAATTTAACTCTTCTAAGGCTGGTTTTTTTCGTTTACTTTATCTCGTTGTTTCCACTCCCCCAAGTAAGGTAGCTTGAACGTTTTCCCCTTCTATGTGGAAATTCCTTATTGGCATCCAAGATGCAAGAGGAGCAGAGTTACAAAGAAAGACCATGTGCACATTGTCTGCTCTTTAGGCAAGTTGCGCCATGGTGGTGGCTGGACCAGGACTTCTTTTAAATCATTTTTTTGTTTCCAGTTTTTTAAAGAACATCATCCTAATCCATGAGTTGTAGTATTGTAGTACAGCTACCTGTGTCTGTGAGTGTGTGCAAAAAGTATAATATTTTCACACACACAGGTTTGTACATAGTTAAGTTGCCAATGATATTCAGTATTATTGAAATGGCATCTAGAAGATGCTGTATTTCTCTTTTTAAAATGGTTTTCTTTATTTACTTACCTGTTACTGGCTGTGCCGGGTCTTTCTGTGCAGGCTCTTCCGTAGTTGCAGTGAGCAGGGCGCGGCGTGCGGGCTTCTCATCGTTCGGCGCGGGCTCTCGAGCACGTGTAGGCTCAGGGGTTGTGGCTCATGGGCTGAGCTGCTCCACGGCATCTGAGCTTTTCCTCGATTAGGGAACAAGCCAGTGAGTGTCCCCTGCAGAATCGGCAGACCGATTCTTTACCAGTGAACGACCAGGGAAGCCCTGTATTTCAAGTCAGTACTTGGTAGAGCTCTTTTTGTATTAAGTTTCCAGTTTTTAAGTAGGTATTCAGTTTATATAAATTAATTTTGTAAATGTATATGACATTCTTTATTCTTACACTGAACTTGGAGATACTTTATGTTGACTTTTTATTTCAAATGTCTTGATTTAGGGTGACAAGAACAATTTAAGATGTGACAAGATGTGCAAATTAGCTATTTTGGGTTGTTTCTCAAAGAGAAGGAAGCTTCCATTTTTTCAGGCATCTCAAAAATTCTTTGGGTAATAAGTGACTTCTTAGACTATAGTTATAACTATAACTTACAGTTAAACTTAACCTATAGTTAAACGTAACAAGCTAAATTACTTTGATATTGATGATGTAAATATATTAGGCAACTTACCTTTTTTTGTTTTTGTTTTTTTTTGTCATTTTCAGGATTCTGAGTAACAATAAAATATCCGAGCTGAAGAATGGCTCATTTTCTGGGTTAAGTCTCCTTGAAAGATTGTGAGTATTCTTTTATTATCATCTCTTATTGGTATTTTGTTTACTACATTTCCAATGTAAGTCTGTTACTAAGCTATCAACTTTTCAAAATAAAATTGTTTTCCCAATTATGAAACATCTCAGAATTTTTTTTTTCAGAATTGAATTTTAAAAAGCAATACATTAAAGCAGAGGAGGGCAAGCTTTTGGTAAGGCCCAGATATTAAATAATTTAGGCTTTGTGGGCCGTATGGTCTCTGTCACTGTGACCCAGTTATGCCACTGTCTGGAGAAAGCAGCCGTGGACAGTGCATACACGAATCAGTGTGGATGTAACTTTGCTTACAAGACAGGCTCTGCAGCATAGTTTGATGACCTGTGGCTTTTATTTTATTTTTTAAATTAATTAATTTATTTTTGACCTGTGGCTTTTAAAGCCTCAGTGCTGTTTTGAAGTTCTGTCATGAAATGTGTGTACCTTTTAAGTTAGTTCAGTAGAATTAAAAAAAAAACCTCATCCAAGGGGAAGTGCTTTTGTATGAACTTAATATTTTATTCAGCTGTCTTTGAATATGATCCTTTTGTTTTGCCTAACAGTTAGGTCTGGTTTTGCTTGTGACCCAGATGTGTGCCAAGTATCACTTATTTTTTGCCTTGGTGATTTTGCGCAGTGGCTCTTTAATTTGCTTGTGTGCTGAATGCCACTCTAGGATCATGTTTCCAGTTCCCATATTACTCATACCCTTCAGATAACGTCTCAGATACAGCAGGGAGCCGGTCACACAGTGAGCATCTCCGTTTCTGTTGGATAACAGACTTGCCTCATTTTCTTAGTTCTCATTTCTTCCCTTTCTCTATTTCCTTGTGGCCTTTCCTTGACCATTTCACTTGGTGTCTTCTCCCACAACTGATTCCCACAGGACTTTATTGCTTTCATCTCAAATGTGTTATTTAAGCACATAGCGTCTAAAATTCTTTGTCTTTTTGGATATGTCTCTATTCCTTTCATTGAGATCAAATGTCTTTAAATTAGGTTATATTAGGGCCTTCCAGCTCCCCTCTACTCATTTACATATACATATATAGCAATGTGTTTGCATTTACCTATGTAATATATACATTTACATATATATAGCAGTGCATTCATGTGTGCATGTGTGCGTATAATCGTGTATATACACACATACGTGTATACATACACACCTATAAAATGATCTTTACACAGTAGTGCTTAATTCTCAGATTTTTTTTTTTTTTCTGTTTTTATTTGAGGCTTCCTGTCTTGTTCCACGTTGTCCGTTTGCTTCCAAGGATGCTGGCTGCACCTCGTGTCCAGGCCTTTCCTTGAGAGAACCGTCCACACACATTGCATGGGCACTGGTCCAGGAATGGGTATCTGACCCAATTGAATCCAGTTGAGATTTGCCTGGGGCTTTGGGGAGAGGCGTTTCCTCCCTGTCCTCAGAAGGATGGTTGTACTTCTGGTACAGGAGCCGCCTTGCTGCGGGCTGGGGCCAGAGCTGATGCACAGAGAGTGGGGTCGGCCCGTTGGGGGAGTGGAGGGGGGCTGACATGACCTCCCTGAAGCGGGACTCCCTCTGAACTGTTAAGAGTCGTAAGAGGCGGCGTGATCCTGTTTAGTTTTCTGTTCCTTGTAAGAAAAGTCGTCGTGCCTGACAGATACCCTGTCTCACACGGCACAGTGCCAGGCCCTGCGTATGGGTGCTCAGTGACGCGGGGTCTGCGAGGTTTGCCCTTTCCAAGGGAAGGGCAATGGGCACTGCAGGGTGCTGTGGTGCTCCTGTGTTCAGAAGCACAAGTTACTTGTGGCACCAGGATCGCTGTGGTGATTGATGCACATCAGAAGTGTGGACAGCATTGCAGTACTGGGGGGTGTGACCTCAACATAGCAAATCTGGGGATACACAATTCAGCCTGTGACAGTGATGTAGTGTTTTAGATTAACCCGTGTCTATTTTCCTTCCTTGTTTCCTAATTGCTCCGCCTCAGGAGAATGGATAACAGAACAGAAAAAAGGACTGTTCTGACCAGTGAGTTCCTGAAGTCCTAGTCCAAGTGTAGAAAAGAAGTTTCAAAAGATGTGAAAAATTATTCCTTACCTTGATGCATACTCTGTGGGCTAACTGGAGAGTTAGAGGGAGTGTAGGCAGAGCTTACATGTTGGTGGGTCCCCAGGAAAGGGCTCTGTCTGCCTTCCTCCCTGTTCCTACCTGGGATGAGGGGGAAACAGGGAAAAAGATCACGTGAAGTCAGTATAAGGTTCTGGATCCAAGGGAGCATCTGAGGCCTCTTTCCCGGGGAAGCAAAATCCCAGATTTCCCAGGATCCAGCATGATGGAGAGCTGGTCCTGTAGCCATTGAAGTGTGTGGGCTAGGACCATCTTGCGAAGGGTTTATCGAAGGGTCTCCCCAGGGAGCGGCAGGATAGGCTTGGGGTTTGTCAGCAGAGAGAGGGCGCTGTCTCTGCAGAATCCTGCTGGTTGCCAGAAGGTACTTTAGAAGTGTCCGGGGCTGCTTCTGGGAACCCAACTTAAGACTGAGCTAGCTGGATAAATGATTTCTTGTTTGTATAAATGACATCATTTTCATATCTTTCAAAATTACCTGAAAACACTGTAGCAGACTTCTTCCTTTAACACTTCCCAGAATGGGATGTGGTATAAAAAGCAAGTGGTAGGTCAAGGAATTATTCAGACTAGGGCCAAAACTGTAAAAGTCTGGCCTTAAAATTCCTGTAGCCGGGCCCTGCAGAATAAGAGATGGGCTTAGTAGTGCTGCGTAGGGTGCGTGGGGTAGAATAGTAGGGGCTGGCTGGGTTGAACTAGCTAGCATGTGTGCCCCAGAGATGGAGTAAAACCTGCAAGGCAAGCAGTCTTGGCAGTTCTTTTGGCTTGAAGAGTGGATTTCTTTAAGAGGATTATCTTTCTCTCTTTTTTTTCCACAAAGTAAAACTGATGTGGGTGGACACACCCGTTCCTACAAACTCCATCTAGAATGGAACCATTTTCTTTAGGCTTACCAAATTGTTCTTCCAAATGCTTGGTTTTCGTTTGGGAGCTTTCTTGTTTTCCATCATTTGTATTTGCTTTTGTCCCTCATAAGAAAGTAGCACTGTGTGTGGTGTGTGTCCTTTTCTTTAAAAATTTTTATTTGAGTATAATTGATTTTCATTGTGTTAGTTTCAAGTGTACAGCAAAGTGAATCAGTTATATATATATATATACATACTCTTTTTTTTTTTAGATTCTTTGGAGTTTTTCTTTAGGGTTTGGGGTTTTTCTTTTTAGGACATAATACCTCTTTATGACATCTTGGAAACTAGTTTCCTAGTTATGATCTACTTTTTTAAAAGATTAATTTGCATTCTTTTAAAAGTGTGTGCCATGGATAAATGATGTAGATTTATTGTATCACGTTAATTAAAACCATTAAAAAGGTAAATGGTCTAATATCAAGGCTTGATACAAGTATTGTCTCAATCATTATTCTCTTCTGAGTAGCTAATCTAAATTTGTTCAGCAGATATTTATTAATTGCCCACACTGTCTTAGGATTGGGATTGTTGTCAAAGGTCCTGTCTTTAAAGAGTTTATGTTGTGATGGGGAGAAATAGAATAAACATAGCAAGCAAATTGATAGCATAAGTACAGGTCCCCCTGCTCCAGGTTCCATCCTGCATGGTATGGAGGACTGACTCTACTATACCATTTTACATAAAGGACTTGAATGTCTGGATATTGGTGTTTGTGGGGGTCCTGGAACTAAAGGAATGACTGTACTATGGGTAAACAAACATACAGCAGGGAGTGGCGTTTGCGTGCCTAGGCACTATGTATGTGAGTTTTGTATGGTGATAGTGTGAAGGCTTAGAGCAAGTGATTGAACCTTGAGGAAAGAATATTATAGGCAGCCGGACTTGTAGGTTCAAAAGCTGTGCTGTGAAACATGTTGCTTGTGTTTGAGGGGCAGCAAGGAGACCAGAGTGAGGCCAAAGAGGTATTGGTGGGACAGATTCTAGAGGGTTATTGTAAGGACCTTGGCTTTTACTATGAGCTACTGTGAGCAGTAGTCATGTATGGATGTGAGAATTGGACTATAAAGAAAGCTGAGCGCCGAAGAATTGATGCTTTTGAGCTGTGGTGTTGGAGAAGACTCTTGAGAGTCCCTTGGACAGCAAGAAGATCCAACCAGTCCATTCTAAAGGAAATCAGTACTGAATTTTCATAGGAAGGACTGATGCTGAAGCTAAAGCTCCAGTACTTTGGCCACCTGATGGGAAGAACTGACTCACTGAGAAAGACCCTGATGCTGGGAGGGATTGGGGGCAGGAGGAGAAGGGGACGACAGAGGATGAGATGGTTGGATGGCATCACCGACTCGGACATGAGTTTGAGTAAGCTCCGAGGGTTGGTGATGGATAGGGAGGTGTGGCGTGCTGCAGTCCATGGGATTGCAAAGAGTTGGACACGACTGAGTGACTGAACTGTCTGACTGACTGTGAGCAGAGGGGCTTCCCAGGTGGCGCTGGTGGTAAACAACCCGTCTGCCAGTGCAGGAGACAAAAGAGATGCAGATTTGATTCCTGGGTCCAGATAGTCCCTTGGAAAAGGGCATGGCAACCCACTCCAGCATTCTTGCCTGGAGAATCCCTTGGACGGAGGTGCCTGGCAGGCTTTGATCCATTGGGTCTCAGAGAGTTGGACACGACTGAAGTAACTTAACACGCACATACTGTAAGCAGAGGATGCTCTGGCTGCTGGAATGAGGGGTTGGGATAAGGGGGAAGTAGGGAAGTGAAATGAAAGTTGCTCAGTTGTGTCCGACTTTTCGTGACCACATGGACTATACAGTCCATGGAATTCTACAGGCCAGAATACTGGAGTGGATAGCCTTTCCCTCCTCCAGTGTATCTTCCCAACCCAGAGATCAAAGCCAGGTCTCCTGCATCGCAGGCAGATTCTTCACCAGCTGAACCACAAGGGAAGCCCAAGAATCCTGGA